ACAAGATAAGCGCGGCTAACTGCTGATAATGCTATCTTCTAAGCTTTGGTATGCTAATTTAATGCATGTAATGGGACAAGGAAACAGCACTGGTTTTGGCTGAGTCCTAAACAAATGCAATCAAGCCTGCTGATAAATTCTAGTTGACCTGTTTCATGTTGAAGTATCTCTTTGAAGTTTCTTTTGTTGGAGAAGTCTGACTTTCAGGTCCATAGCAGAGAAACCTAGGAGACTGAGATGTTCCCACCCCACCCCCCATGCTTCAGAATATTGCCATTTTTAAAAATGCAGATTCAAGTTTGTCTATTCTGTGTAGACAGCAGGACTTACACAGGCATTAAATTGGCATAGTAAAGCTAGAAAAATTGTCCAGGGTGGGTGGTTGGGTGAGATGTAAGAATAAATACAAATAATGATATGAAATTATTTGGAGATTTTTACATGTATTTCCTTGGTCATAGGGCTGTTGGGTAGGATAAGGAACCACATGTTTTTAATGGGCCATTATTATTTAGTATTCTCCATAGGTCTGATCCATTGCACTGACAGCACAGCAGCCACACATGGAAAAATCTCTGTGGGCCTCATTTCCCCCAGAAATAGGCATTCATGGGGTGTGTATGCAGGTACCACATCCAGTCATTATGGGGAGTGGGGTGCCTCTGAGTGATATAATGGACTGATCCAATGATTGCTTGTGTGTGTACAGTGAGGAAGGGGAGTGAAAACTGAGCTATTGCACCCTATAAGGGTCCCCCCAAGCACTGCATCCACAAAGGACTGGATCCTTAAAAATTCAGTCTGTTTGGTACTGTATTCCACCAGGCTATGATTGGTTACTTACTATCTACTTTGACCGAACTAAACCTAGAAATCTTAGGGGGTGGGACTGGAGCAAGGCAAAAAAAAAAGCCATCTGGGTATAATGTTCTCAGCTCCCCCTCAGTAAGCTGATTAGGGACAATCAGCTCCCTTCACAGCTGCTTAAATTCATCCCACTGAAAAGGAACAAGCATCAGGAGAAGGAAGAAAGGCATTTGTATGAGCAGAAAGTGGAACTAGCTGGAGGAGGAGAAAGAAGGAAAAACAGGGAACGCCACAACATTTCAAGCACATTAGGCATTATTTGGTGTTAACATTATAATTATTTAAATGGCTTTTTGCTTATCGGCACATTTCTAAACCGTTCAAGGGATTTTGCATTTATATACCAAGGCAGAGAAAGCTGCCTCCATCTGGTGAAAGGCTCTGAGACCACGCAACCATTATTTGTTACATTTGGTATCGAGCCTCCCCCCCCCCCCCCCGCAATGATGCTCAAGATGGCTAACGTCAAAGTAAAATACAAAATAGCAATCAAAAACATAAAATCAGGGCTGGTAAAAGATGTTGACCAAAGTGTCACTCAAAAAGCTCATAGGCCATATTCCAACCAGGTGAAAGTACTCAAGGAGGGAACAGAGCAGAGCCTGGGAAAGGTGTGGTGTAGCCTTGGGAGATTTGATCATCTATCCGAGATAGTGAGAAACAATGTTGAACAGCATGGATGCCTAGGATGGCAGATCCTGGGAGAAGGAAAGTAGCTGCAAGGTGCTGGAGGACAGAAGTGTGTGCCATGTCTCCGGAGTGCAAGCCTGGGCAGGCTACCCAGACAAAAATACCCTCCTCTTGGTCTCAATGATATGCTCCAAAGGAATTTAGCACCAGGAAGAAGGCATACAAGACACCATCCAACCATCTTAAGGACTCCACTCAGGGTTTGTGTAGGCTTGCTTTTCATCGTACAGTATATGTAAATGCATTGTATGAATACAATGCCACTGGAAATCAGTCACTTTTCATGTAATTGCCCTAAATGAAATGTGCATGCAAGAAACCTGGAACAAATTTTCCACTGTGGGCCCACTTAATCCAGGAGGGAGAAAAAGTGAGGAGGGCAAAAGTCAGGTATGTCACTTAAGCTCCTTGGAGGATAAAGTGGGATATAAATGCAACAAATAAATTTTAAAACAAAACAGAATGCTGCTGTATCGTAAACTGTTTCTGTTTCTCCTTCACCAGTAACCACTAGATGGTAGTGTTTGATCATCATTTTGAGATACTGAGAAACAATATTGTTCACTGGTTACAATTTTGGACTAGCCAGTTTCCTTTTTATTATAGGGGAGTTTAGTTGTCTGCCAATTTTTCTTTGTGCATGTGACCTTCGATAACTCCAGAATTATCTGAATTTTGTTTATCAGTCTAAAGCTGCAATCCTAAATTGTAACCATTCCCCTTTAAGTCAGTAGGACTTGCTTCCAACAGCATGCTTAGGATCACATGATTGCACCTTGACTATATGTGTATAGGCTCTTCTAGAGGGGAGTGGTCTGCTTTAAGGCACATAAATTTATGTTTTTGAGGTCAATGTTTACTTCAGGGCAAATCTTTCTGTATCTTAGACAGAATTCAATTTGTTGGTCCAGATCCTTCATATTTATGAAAGGCTGGGAGAATATTTTTATTATATAAATCCTTACAGAGGTCCAGTAGGGGTATTTCTGCACAACAGTACCTAAGGATCTCGCCATACATATTACTAAAAGATGTAGCATGTTCCATATGTGCCAACTCCCTGGGGCCCTGGGCAGTGGTGGAGCTAGCTGCTCTGGCACCCAGAGCGGCATGCACCCGGGGGGTGGGAATAGCCGCCCGTGGGGGCAGGGCTAGCATCCCAGGGGGGTGCAGCAAGCGTCCCAGGGGTGCACCGCCCGAATCGAGCGTACGGGGGGGGTGTCCCAGGGGTGCGCCACCCATGGTGAGCGTCCTGGGGGGGCAGGGGGCTATGTCACACACACCCCCCCGAATGATACCTGGGGCGGGCTTCACCCACCGTATCCACCTTCCTCCGCCTCTGGCCCTGGGTGCCCAACACCCACAAAACTCCCCATGAAGTGGCCAGGCACCCACAAATTTTGGTGCCAGGGCCATGCCTGGCACCCACGACCACAGGGCCAAGCTGGCACTCCTGGCATGCTCAGTCCACATTTTGTGGTTCTACACATTATAATTTTTCACATCAGTGTTTTATACTTCTACAATCTTGGGATTGCAACAAGTCTGCTAATGTCCCTCTCTTGTGCTCTGGCATTTTGGATCCCTAATTAGAAATAAGAAGGAATTGCTATTCTTTGCCATAATACCTTCAGACTAGCACAATATTGTTTCACAAACATTTGATTTGTGTCATGTGATATTATGTTCACATTGCAGTGATGCTATCCATTTGCTTTTTGGAAATACTGAAATGGATATGGGCTTCTAGAGTTACTGAAAGCTATATGGCTATTAAATATAATTAGATTCAATAGACTATATGACATGAAATAAAGCCTGGGGTGCAAACAGAGATGTATCTTTGAACTGCTGATCATTCACAATTTTCCCCCATTCCCCCCTCCCAATACCAAACTGATTTTGAAAGTCAAGGGAGCTTCAAAGCAAGATGAAGTTTCCTTTAGTTTCAAAACCAGTTTGGTAATTGGGGGAGGGGAAGGGAACCAAACCTTAAAACTTGAATGCATATATGTCTGGGTAGGCTTGCTGAAATAAAAAAATTTAAAGGTTTTAGCAGGCATCTAAAACAGTATAATGAGGGTTCCTGCTTAGTGATAACAGGCAGGGTGTTTCACAGCAAAATGCAGAACCTTGTAAAAGTGCTCGTTCCATAGACCTTGCAGTTGAGCAGGCATGTATGGGACATAACAATCTTCAAGGAAACTTTCATTGGCAGTAACTGCACTAAAAGCCAAGGAGCAGTGCTGTGATTGTTGGCATAAACACTGCCAATCTTTTAGTATAAATTATTAAGTTGGATATTACAGTAATTTAAGGTCAGGTGTTTTTCTCTCTACAAAATTCATTTCCCTGCAGTCAGGTGTAGTTGTACTAATGCCGTAGGCTGAGAAAGGGGTAGTCACAGAAACAAATAGCTAGCCTTTCTCTGTTTTGAAAGTATAAATAATTGATTTATTTATTATACATCACATTTTTATTTATGGCTATAGGATAAGGTTTCTGCTGGAGTTCTCAACTAGCAGCTTTCAGGATTGTTGTGAGAATCTCATGTACGCCACCGTGAACTCCTTGGAGAACGGATGAGATGCAAATTCAATCCACAAACTATTTATAACAAACAAGCGGCCATCCAAAAAGCACTCCTTCCAATATACTGGAAGGAATAAGTCTAAACCAGTCTTCCCTAACCAAGGTATCTTCCAGATATTTTGGACTGCACCTCCCATAAGTCCCTGTCAGTGCAAGTATGTTGGCTGGGGCTGATGGGAGTTGTAGTCCAAAACACCTGGAGACTGGGTGACCTAAGTTTGGGGGAAGCTAGCCAACACCATAGGGGCCAATTTGTGACCCTCCAGATGTTGCTGGACTACAGCTTCTACCATCCCTGGCTATTAGCCATGCTGACTGAGGCTGATGGGAGTTGGAGTCCAACAAATATCTACATGGTCACATTTTAGCTACTCCAGCATAAAAATTATATTGAAAGAAAACAACAAGCTGCCAGTTACATATACAGCAGTGGAAGGGTTTGTTTTGTTTTATTTTATGGAGGAGAGGGCTCTCAGGCAGTGATCCCTGCTGTGAGAATACAGCAGTGCAAGTACCCAAATAAGTACCCCATTTATCATCTGTGGGACTGCCCTGGAATCAGATCAATAACCCATGTCAATGCCTGTGATTAAAAACGTGGCCTGTGAAGGCTGGACTCTCAGGTGTTGTTATGATTCCTTGAAAAGGCGATCCTTTGAGGATTAAAAGAGAATTACACTGCTTTTCCCGTTCGCCTTCCAAAGCGATTCTTTAATTGCTTCTTTGCAAGCGCAGGCACCACGTCGAATAAATTATACCCGTGCTCCTCCTGCCAAGAGGCGAAGTGGGCACTTTGAGATTTACCGTAACGGGGGCGAAGGAACGCGAGGCGGGGAAGAGGCAATGTGGGTATTGCCCGAACCCAAGATGGCTGCCGCAGCGCCACGGCACTTCAAGACGGGTCACCTGTTGAAGTAAAAGCCCGGGTGTTTCATTGGCTCCGCAGGGCCGGGCCCTGAGCCGTTGACCGTCGCCAATCTAGCCCCCTGGGGCTGAGGGAGAAAGGGTAAACTAAGGCCGAAGTGGCGGCAAGAGGCGGCTGGTGGGCGTCGCTCCCTCTGACTCGCCGCCTCAGCCAGGCCAGGCCCGAGCCCGACGGGCTTCGTCCCCGCCCCCGGCTCCTCTCCTCAACTCGGCATGGAGGACCGGGGGGGCGGCGGCCGCAGGGAGAGACCGCGAGCCGGAGAAGCGGAAGAAGGCGAGGAGCCGGCAGAAACCGCGGCGGGAGAGGAGGAGGAGGAGAAGGCGGCGGCCGGAGTGACCGTGACGATTACGGAGCCAGAAGGCGACGAGGAGGAGGACGACGACGAAGGCGAGGCTGAGGAGCGGGACACGGAGTGGAGCTTCGTCGACATGGAGACGGTGTCCCTGCGCGACCTGCCCACGGCGCTCATCGCCTGCAACCTGCCCCTGGCCGTCTTCTTCCCCGATGGACCCTGCAAGGTGGGTGAGGGGGCGAAGGGGGCTCCTGGAAGCCGGCCGGGGGGAGAGGAGAGTTTGGAAGTGGGGGGCGAAAGGGCCCCGGAAAGGGCAGGCCCCGCCCGCTCCCGGCCAGCACCACCCGCGGCCGGCAGGGGCTCTCAGTCGGGGATGGCTGGCTCCTCCGGGAGGCGAACACGGCTAATAAACAAACCGGTGAAATAAGGCAGAGCGACGCCGGGGTCTCTGGTGGGGGGATGTGAGGCAGAGGGGGGTTCTGCAAGAAGGCGCCCCCAGCCCTCTCCAATGAGTTGTCGTTCATTAGGCAAACGTTTTACATAGCAGGACCTCTTGCGGCCTGTGCTTGCTCTTCGTGAAAGGCAGAAGCTGTGCCCTGCTGCCCCTGGGGCGTATCTAAAGGGCAGCTGCCCATGCAGGATTCACCTCCCTGCTTTTTTTTCAGGGCCGGCCCTAGCATTGGGTAGAATGAGGCAGTGGCCTCAGGTGGCGGATGCTGTGGGCCAGGGAGGGCTGCTGAAGTGTTGGAGGATAGAGCTGTGTGGGAGGCGCACACCACCTGCCCTGTGCCCCTGAATCTAGCCTCGTGCCATCCGTTGTGGTGTGGAGCGTGCTATCAGATGGCCAGTTTTGAAGTAAGATTCAGCTTCCAGGCCAGTCAGATTCCATATGTAGAATGGAGACAGGACACCATCTTGTCCTCAGAGAGCAAAAGGTCTTGGGCTGGCCCTGTGGAAAAGGGACTGGCCACGGAACAGAAAGGACTGCAATTCCCTGCCTGCTTGTATTGTAGGGTTGCAGTGGTACATCTGCTACCTGTTAAGTAGGACCTGATCCTGTGCAGACATGTGTTTAGTTTTTGTCCTGAGTTGTACTGGCCCAAGGATTACTGAATTTTGCCAGCAATTATATTGGACAGCTCTGAGCCCTTACTTTTACAAAGGCTAAACATAATTTGTACAGAACCACTACTGTAGGCCTTTGGGGATGTTAATGAGGAAATCTGCAACAAAATGTGATGTACCCTTGGCCTGAGCCCCGTAGCACACTCCATATGAGGGCTACTTGGACCAGTCTGCTGCTGTGCTGTGATGCAGTAAAACTATTGGTAGCAGAAAGCTCCAAGCAGGAACAAGTGTATTGGACTAGAACCACTGATCTGTTCTAGGATGCCAAGGTATCTTGACAGTTCTTGGTCTACCTGTTTTTGAGGGATTCCTGTTGGGGGGGGGAGTATTTTCTGCCTACTTAACTATGCAGATACCCCCTTTTGATATCTGTTGGTTGGCATAGAAGCACTTGCTTGGTTATTTTATTTCTAAAATTGATCCTCTGCATTTTTAGTGCCAATTCCTACATCACTCTTTGAGGAAATTATTGTCTCCAGTTGTTATCTTTGATTCATTGGTCCATATACAGAGCTTTATTGCCATCTCCCACATGTGACTTAAATTTTGATATTTCCAGGTAGTTCAAAGAGTCAGGCAGGTGAATTGCAATGTATCAACCTACATTTGAAAGACGCAAATTGACCCTCACATCGTTAGGAATGAAAGGTTGTAACCATGGCTGGCCTTCGAAATGACATATTGCTATTTTTAAATGCCATGCTGCTGTATAAATATTGCGGGAGGAGAAGAATAGGAAACATAAGTGCCCCTTCCTGCTTCCTGTTTCCATATACCATCATATGCTAAGTGTAACTCTAGCTTCTCTGCCTACAGTCAGATGTTTGGCAGGAACAAGCATAATGTTTGGCTTTATCTCTCTTCCCTACGTAGTCCCTTCCATCAGCTAAAGCTATACCTTTGCCTGAGATGCATGAGGGGAAAATCATACAGAATGTAATACATCAGTTTTTGTTACATGGTGCTTCAAAGAATGAAGAACTAAAAGCAAATTTTATTTATTTTTTAATGTTCAGGCTCTTGCTCTAACAACAATAACAATAAGCTTACTAACTGATAATTTGTTTATCTATAAAACTGCTGTATTTTTCTTCTAGGACTAAGATGTGGTTTTGTAAGATCTAAATTTATAGTCCTTTTAAATAACCTTAATAGTTGCCATAGCTACTTACATACTCGGCAGCCATACTAGGTACACTTAAGAAATGCAAACTTGTATTTTCAAATATATATTCTGTGCTGTTTTACTTTTAAAATGTTACATTTCAAATGATTCCAATGTGAGTCCAAGCTTTAGGCAACTTCAAGACTGCAGAAAGACATGGAAATAGATATATGTGCTAGGGTAGCCTTCTTGAATATAGTGCACAAGGGTGTTAACCAACCAATCCTCAGTTCATATCTAATCCCACTCAAATTCACTAGCCTTCGTATATGGTGCTGTTGCTGTTCTTAAATGGCTGTAATGAAGATTACCAAGATAATAGTTGGAATTCAGAGAACCAGTCAGGATTTTGTTTTTTGCTTTGACCCCCATATTATCATATACTTGCTTTTTAAACAGTTGCCATATAGATTGGAGGCTTACTGTTTTGAGAATTGCTATAAAATTCCTGTGAGCTTACAGAACTAGTTTCATGGTTCTTTACATCTTGACTAATGCAATGCATTTGGAGCACTTGAGCCGTACCATATGAATGCTATCCTTTATTCTTGTTAGCAGTCACTTAATTTCATTTCCAAATCCTGAAAATTATGCTTGGATCAGCCACAAGGGGGTGAAGTAACACCACTTACAGTATTTGCAAAGTTTGTCTGAAAGAGAGTGCTTGTGCTTTTGAAACTCTGTTTTTGCTGGTGTGTATAATTTGTCAGATATATTCCAGATAAATTATACATCTGACCAACCTCTCCTGCCAAATAGCCACAGCAATTACTAGCCTTCAGACCCGTAGTAGGTTAACTTGCTATTCACACCTATATTAGTCATATGTATCCATGGCCTCTTTGCCTGAATGGAGCTGAAAGAACCTAGAGTGCTTTCAGACAAAGGACTCTTAGAGCTTTCAGTTCTGCTTTCTGCTGTATCCAGAATTGCAAGCAAGCATTGACACATGAGAGTTATAGCACTCTTTCAGTTGTGCTTTCCATTATGTTAAAATAGTGGGCATGACTTATCGTGTGAGAAGTATTTATCCCTCCTTTTCCTCCCACTCCTCATGGTTGTGTTCGTTATTCATATCCTGATGTTGCTTTCTGTCCTTCTACCCCCTTTCTCAGTAATAACTAAATAAGCACTGTCAGCCATTAATTGTTTTTCTCCCCCCCCCTGCTATTTCCTTTTTTTTACTGCTAACTCATGCAACAGAAAAGGGTTTGTTTTTTTGAGTCTCAGTAGCACAGACTTAAATTTATTGCAAAGCTGTTGCCACCCAATCCCCACCCTGCCCACAGTCTTCTTGCTGCTTATCAGTATTATTATTAGTAGTAGTAGTAATTTTTTTGGATTGCTTATTTGCCCTGCACCATAAGGTCCTGGCAGATGATTGATAGGTGGGTGGCCCCATGAATCTCACTGAACTCTTAATCAAAGATTTGACTGAAGATTTAAAAACAAAGGTTGCAAAAGAGTAGGTACACCAAGACAATGACTGTTATTTGGTTCCTGCTTAACTAAGAGAGTCAAGGTTTTACGTAAAGTTTAAAGTGCTACTTCTAAAGGAAACTCAGGATCTCAGGGCTCTCAAAGGCCAAGCAATAGGTGATACGGTGTTCCTTCGATTAGGTTAGGAACTGGCAGAAGGTTCAGTGTTAACAATGTCAGGTGGAGTTTCCAGGCTAGTGTGTAGAGTAGGGGTGGCTAACCTGTGGACCTCCAGATGTTGCTGGAGTACAACTCCCACCACCTGTGGGCTGGGGCTGATGAGAGTTGGGAGTCCCAACAACATTTGATTGGTCATTGGTTAGCCACCCCAGGTGCAGGGAGTGTGGGCACCCTCTTGTCCATGTCAGCCCAAGTCTTCACTCTCAGGGGCAACCTTCTGGGGGGCCTCATGCCAGTAGTGTGTGGGACTATTGCTTTTGTCCAAGAGGCTAAATTCCAGCCATACAAAAGTCAGAGGTGTTTTCTCTCTCTCTCTCTCTCTCTCTCTCTCACACACACACACACACCCCATCCAGACAAACAACAGGCATTCTAAGTTTTCAAAGACAGATTCCAGCCAGCAGACAAAAGCACCCAAGAAAGACATGGAGCAGGGCCAGTGAATAGTGTAGTTCTAGAGCAGCGGTTCAAAACCTATGGGTCCCCAGATGTTGTTGGACTACAGCTCCCATCATCCCTGAACTCTGGCCTTGCTAGCTAGGGGTGATGGGAGTTGCAGTTCAACAGCATCTGGGGACCCACAGGTTGAGAAAGGCTGTTCTAGAGAGTCCCCGAGGGCTACAAAAAGAGGCCTCTGGGGCAGCATTTAGCCCGCGGCTTGAGGTTTCGCAGCCCCATCCCTTCAGTAGATTGTTTCAGCTGGAAACTTTCCATGTGCATTTCATTCTGGTTCAGTAGATCCTTGCTAGCTCATCTCCCGAAGGCAAAATGTAGCTAAGATGTTTGTGAGGAGACACAAAATGTCTGTGAAACTGTGCTCTCCAGCAGTATCATATTTCATACTGCTGGTCACACTTGTTTTTAAAATAGAGTAATTTGCAAACATGGGAAAGTTCTGAAGAGGTCTGCTAAACGATTTCTTAAAGAGTTTTAGCACATTAATCAAGCATTTGACCAGTCCAGAAATATGGAAGATACCGTCTTTTTCGCCCTATAGGGTGCACCGGCCCATAGGACGCACCTCGTTTTTTGGGGGGGAAATAAATAAATAAAAATTATTTACCCCCCCCCCCCAGCTGCAGTGCTGGGGTGGGGGAAGCCTGAGCTTCCCCAACCCCCAGAACAGGCTGCTATCCACAAGCCTTGCGAGCCCGGCGGCAACTCCCGCCGGGCGGGCAAGGCTTGCGGACATTGCGCGAAGCACAGGGCACCCTCCAGAGGGCGCCCCGTGCTTCGGGCTGCAGGCTGCTGCCCGCAAGCCTTGTGAGCCGGCGGGAACTCCCACCGGGCGTGGAAGGCTTGCGGATAGCTTCCTGAAGCCTGGAGAGCGAGAGGGGTCGGTGCGCACCGACGCCTCTCGCTCTCCAGGCTTCAGTGAAAGCCTGCATTCGCCCCATAGGACGGACACACATTTCCCCTTCATTTTTGGAGGGGAAAAAGTGCGTCCTATAGGGCGAAAAATACGGTAAATACAAGTTTATTCCACTCATGATGCTATTTTCCCCATTCCATTACCCTTGGTTTCCTTTTGAAGTTGAATTTTTAGTATTAAAAGGAAAAAACTCTATAAAAGGTTTTCCACTTCCATTATCATCTACTCCTTCCTTCTCCCTTTTCACTTCCACTATCTTTTTCTTAAAGAATATACCAGAGTTGTATATAGGGCAAGGTCTGGCCATGTAGTAGATTTCTATAATGCCTCATGGTCCATTTAGTGGCATATTTAGTAGCTTTTATAACTTTGCTAAAATGCCATACCTGTATAGACAAGTATCCAGTCTGTTTGCTAGAATAGGGAGGAGTCAATAAAGGCATGCATTCCTCTGATTTGTAACATTGAAAGGAAACATGTGGATGGCAGGCAGTGGGGTTCTATCAATAATAGAGGCCTCTTGACTTTTGTCTGCAAAGTTCTGATGCGATGAAACTACTTCTCACACCCTTAAAAAACTACCCTGGTTGAGCTTTGCACGTGTGTTTTTGTCACGTCATTGGAATGTTCTCACCAGCAGAGGGCACTGCACAAGCAGTCACACAGGGCCTGCTGCAGAGGGAGATGTCTTGGCTGAGAGGTAGCAAGCGCAGCTTACTTGTCCTTGGCCAATCCAAGGATCCTCTGGGTGCCTATGTGGAGGCTGTCACTATATTCCAGGAACTCTTAGGATGTTGAGCTTATTCCTTTTGAACCTCCACTGCAGGTGGGGAGAGTACAGTCACACTCAGGTCCTGCTTGTGGGTTTCCCATAGGCATCTGGTTGGCCACTGTAAGAAGAGAATGATAGACTAGATCTAGCAGGACTCTCATGTTATATATGTGCAGAGGAGGAGATTTTTTGATCAGATTCAAGTTCTCCTATATAATCCTTAGAGAAAAATCTTCAGATTGTCCCCCTCTTTCTCTTCGTGAAAACATGAGTTTGACAATGGTAAAGATTCCATAACTTGGATTCAGAAAAGTGCAAGCATAATGGCAGGTGTTCCTCCTCTCCACCTTTGCAGCTCCCTGTGTCCTATGAAAAGCTGCTCTTGAAGGTCAGAGAACCCTTTGGAATGATGGAGTATGGGAAGTGGCCAAAACCAAGTGAAGGTACCTTGAACATCTATTTACACATGGTCTCTCTACCTGGTTTTGGCTTATTCTCTCTCTCACACACACACACACCCCCACCCACACCTACCCTTCCTGAACCTATCCTGTGCCATTACAGAGAGTCTTCTGACTCTGGAGCAGATTTTTAAGGAGTACCAGGCTACAGTGAGGAGGAAACTCCCTTATTTATTATTTTTCCACTTAAGATTCTCTGGATTAAACACAATCTATTGTAGGGATGACAGAAAATATTTCAGTAATCATTTTGAAAGAGAAGTTATTTCGTGAGAGTGCCAGTTTCTCCCAAACTTCATATGTTTCCATTTTAGGGAAGGTAGCATGGAAAGATTTCTCCTTAACTTTTCTGTCCCATCCTTCATATTTCTATTCATATTTTAAGATTTATTATATTTTCAGAGTGACCAAATAAACAGCCTGTTCTACACTTTCACATTTAAATCTTACTTTACTAATGTGGTCTGGCAAATTCTGGAGCTTACTACTGTTTCCAAACCACATTAGTATGGAGTGGTGTGTTTTCAGCACCTCACAAGATGGATTTTTCCTCTAAATTTGTATATGCTCAACCAACTTCCCCAGTTGCAAGAAATGTAGGAATGATTAACAGTTTGGGAAAGTTAAAAAATTGTATTTTTCTGCATTACTAGTTAATATTATTAATTCTGGGACCTGCAGCACCTGAGTTAAATAAGCTTCCCCCAACCTCCCTGTAACATAGTTAAATTTATATTCTGGTGGTAGTAGTAAGATCTGTTTGAAAATTGTGGCTGCCAAGTCCAGAGAGAGCTTTCCATAATTTTGATTCTTCTTAAAGATCATATTTAGTATACCTTTGCTTTTTCAGGCCATAATAGTGTTCCCTTGCCTAGAAGTTAGCAGTTGTTAAGATAAACTTTTAAAAGTTTTGTCTACAGTACAGTGGTACCTCGGGTTACATACGCTCCAGAAATAGTACCTCGGGTTAAGAACTTTGCTTCAGGATGAGAACAGAAATTGTGTTCCTGCGCTGCGGTGGCAGCAGGAGGCCCCATTAGCTAAAGTGGTGCTTCAGGTTAAGAACGGTTTCAGGTTAAGAACGAACCTCCGGAACAAATTAAGTACAGTACTTAACCCGAGGTACCACTGTATCTGCAAGTTTCTACTAAGTAGCTCTCTCAATTAAAGACATACTTGCAGATACGATTTCTGTCACGTCTCTTTCAGATTAAAATTAAATTTAGCATTAGAAGCTTGGGAGTGCTAAGGAGAAGTAACAAGAGGAAGCCAACACGGATGATGATGATTAGTCAGATGCTTGGTAAACAGGAGGGCCTTCCTTCCCCTTCCCCTAATCTGTCTGCCAGGAGATAGAGAGATTTAACTCCCCACCTCTTTTCAAGTTGCTTCCACATGTCTTAGCCCTCTTGTATGCAGTTGGATGGATATAATGTAAGGGGAAAGGGGATAATAGGAAAGTTGAGGAAATTGACCCATGAATCATTAACATATCTTGGAATTTTTTTTCTTTGCTTGAGAAAACCAGTTATTTATAGCTTTGCAGTTTGCATGATTCTAAGTTTCCATTTGATGCTTTAAGAAGATTATTCCACTTAATCCTTTGTTACTGTGTACTTAACCAGCTAGTTTGTAGCAGCCCAGCCTTAAGGTATCATATGACAACTTATGTTAAAGGTCAGTTGTGTATTGGGAGGCTCTGTTCTCTGGGGAGAAACTCCTTTAATAGCACTTCTAGTATATATTGCAAGTATATATAGTGAAAGAGTGATTCAATAACCAGTTTTTCTAGCCTGGATAGTCAAATAGAGCACCAAAGGGGTCATAACAGTCTGGCATATAACCAATGAACAGAAAATTTATTGTATGCCCATCAGCATATGCCTCTAACCAAATCTAAGCATATGCAAGTGAAACAACTGCATATTCTTCCTTGTTTTCTTTTGCCCCTGTTTCCTCCCCCCTGTTTCCCCTGTGTTGAACTTTAGATCACAACTTCTTCAGAGCAGGAATTCTGCAAACTGTATTCTGCAAAGTGCCAGGCATATTGATACTGCTATTTAAATAGGGTTTTTTTAAAGCCCACCACTTTAAGCCAATCTTGCTCTTTTGCCCACTGTTCCAGGGTATGCAAATGATGTGAGAAAAATAATGGATTCAATTATAGGTTACATCTGAACATAAGCAGCCAGAGAAATGAGCAGGTAGTATATATGAGTTAGCTAGGAAGATTGTGCAGTTTCCTTTGGTTGGTTGGTTAATTAATTAACCACCTTTATCTTCCAAGGATCTTAAGGTTGTGTGCATAGTTCTCCCCCTATTTCATCCTCACAACAACCCTGTGAGGTAGGTTAAACTAAGAGGTGGTGACTGGCCCAAGGTCACCCAGTGAGCTTCATGGCTGAGTGGGGATTTGAACCCTTTCTCTCCCAGATCCTAGTCCAACTCTCAAATCATTACATCACACTGGCTCCCCTGTCATAAAGTGGGTGTTGTAGCTAATACATCTTTATCCAGAAGAATCCATCAATATTGCTTCATAAGTTAATAAAAATCTATTATCTATGTCAGTGGTTCCCAATTGGTGGTGCGTGGACCCCAAGGGGTCTACATAATGCACCCAGGTGGTCCGTGGCATCATTCACATAGCAAAAACTACCATAGAGGTATTTTTTAAAAAATTAAGTAGGGGGTCCATGGCTTGCTTTTTGAAAGCAGGGGTATGCAGTACTTAGCTAATTGGGAACCACTGATCTAGACAGTATGCACAGTGGTGTTGAGGGAAGACTGTTTTGATGATAAGACCCTTGGGGCAGTGGTTGGTGTTGATCCTGATAGAAGTAGTGTAAGTTTCAAATTTGGATGTTAATTCAGTACTTAACAAACTCTTACTTATAGAAGAAGTTGCTTGCCATTTTCTAAAATACCTACTCATCCACAGGAAAAGATAAAGTATTGTTTCAAAGCTAATAAATTACAGCACAATCCTAACCATCTCTGCTCAGAAATAGGTCCTTCAGTGGGGTTAGAATTGAGGTCTTAGATTCAGTCATTTGATAATGATTTAGTTACTACTTGCTGAGGTTGGCAGTATCATAGTTATGCAGGTAGTTGATCCTGTGCTTCAGAAAACTAAGCTATACACTGTCCTTTGAACTAATTTAGTAATTCTGTGATGCAGAATATTTTCAGTCTGAATGTCCCTTGGGAGCTCAAAAGCTTGGTCATTATTTTGTGACAATTAAACTGGTTCTAGTAAAGGTATTGCCCAACTGTGGATTTTATAGGTTTTTCTTATAGAAAACTTTATTTTTTAATGTTGCTTTTGGTAGTTGCATTTTCAAAGTTTGATTATAAGCTAGGAATTGTTTTCGGGGAAAACATTTCAACATTTAATTTCACTTGTATCCATGTATTCTGTTGCTAGATAAATAAATCAGCAGTTACAAAACACTGGGGGTTTATTAAAGTTTTATTTACACTTTTATGTAAAAAGGGTTCTGAAGCAGCAATTACAATGTTTAACTATATTTTTCAGGAAACCACAATCTTTCAAATATATTTTCCATTAGGTTAGTGAAAGAAGGACAGGAAGAGCAGTTTCAATAAGAACTGTGGTTTTTTATATAGAATTGAATAAGAAACAAAACCAAGTAATTTAAGTCACTCAGATTAATTAACCAACTACATTCATAAATGTAGTTGGAAAAGTAGGTGAGATTCACAATTGAGATCCTGAAGTTCTTGTGAGCTGCTGCATGAAGTTAACTGTCAGTTGCTTTAAAGACCATTGCCCTGATCACCTTAGTAATGTTGCATAGTGGCTGATCTGCACTACATGTCAGCACTGAACTGAATATACTTTTATGTTTCCAATAACTGAACTGAAGGCAGATACAGTATACAGAAAATAGTAATGAATATGTGTAGGTACCAATTGCGGTTTTTGTAGTTTTAAGATATGCCAGTTTGAAGAGGAGCTAATACTTAAGAAAATGACAAATGTGTGGTGTAGCAGCTTGTCCTATCTAATAATTATCAAACGCTGGGTAATTCTGGTATCCTAGTTTATCTTCATTCATTCTGCTTTGTACAAAAGATGGTTCCATATCAAAAAGCCCTGGTATGAGATGAAAAAAGAGTTACAATTTTTGTAAACTGGCCCAACTTTCAGTGATATTTCTTTGTCAGAAAATATAGTTACCGGTATATATTTTCAGAGGATGTCAGAAGATATATATACAGTGGTACCTCGGGTTACATACGCTTCAGGTTACATACGCTTCAGGTTACAGACTCCACTAACCCAGAAATAGTACCTCAGGTTAAGAACTTTGCTTCAGGATGAGAACAGAAATCGTGCTCTGGCGGAGCAGCGGCAGCGGGAAGCCCCATTAGCTAAAGTGGTGCTTCAAGTTAAGAACAGTTTCAGGTTAAGAACGGACCTCCGGAACGAATTAAGTACTTAACCTGAGGTACCACTGGAGAGAGAGAGTGAGTGTGTGTTCAATGGGTTTTTGAAACTGCCTTATTTTTACAATGAAAGGTGGTCTCTAAATTATTTTAAGTAAATATACATGCCAAGATTCCAAATTATTCTTCAAGCAGCTCCCTTAAACAGAAAACAAATCAAGATATAATTGAACAGACGTGAGTTAGTCAGGCCTATGTATCACTTAGATTAATTAAACCCAGTTATGGCAGTAGCAATAAAGATGTCTTATCAAAGCATCTTATTCTGAAGTACATTGACTGTTGTTTTCTGTTTTAAACAGAAGAATCATTATTGTTAAACCGTATCTCATTTAATTTAATACAACCAAGGAGTCAGAAGCAGTGGTCCCTTTCATTTAATCAACTGTTGCATAGTAGATAACTTATGGTGTTAGGCAGGAGAGGGGCAATTCTCCTATAGACTTTTAAGTTATTGAGGATTCCAAACAACACAGGCGTAGTATCCCATAAGTGCAACTGCACCATGCAATTACAGCTCAGTGCAGCACTGTTTTACATAGCTTGGGAAGCCTTCTGAATAGAATAAAATATAAATAGTAATATCTTTTGAATATTATCCTCTAGTTTAGAATTAGTTTATTCCATTATAGTTTTATTGTGTTCTAGTTAAATTGATTCAATGCTTGTCATGAATCTTGGGGTCATTAAAGAACAATTTTTTAAAAAAAGCAACACCTCTGACTTGACGACCTTTGCCTTTGAAAAGTGGATGGTGGAAAGAATTTTTAAAAGTTTCATTCATGACTTGTAGAGCACTTTGGGACACTTTTCAGCTGTGATGCTTACAGAAGGTCCAGTGCTATGTTTTTTCCATGGAAATTTTCCATTCTGAAAAACATTGCTCATAAACATTTAATTCATATTGCGTAGTCTTGTGTTGCGTGAATGAACCCTGGGATCCTGAGAAAACTCTGCTCCTTTTTCAGGCACAGCCTTAAATAGGAGATCAAAAGCTATTGCTATGCACTTATTATGTTAACAGCTTTACTGCATTAACATTAAAAAAATAAAAACAATGAAAGTGAACTGAGGGAGGAAGAGCTACATTGACCACGTCGACTCGCAGGGCTGGGGCCAATGGAGCTCGTTCCTCCACGTGCCAGCCACTGGAAGGAGTCGCTCCATAACCAGCCCGCCAAGGGAAAAACAAGCTGCATTGGCTCGTTCCACCCTTGGTTTGAGGGCCAGAGTGTGATGGCGCCTTCACCCAGAGGTATATCATGTAGAAAGTCACCATTGCACTCTGGCCCTCAAACCAGTACTAGGTGATGTATCGATACATCACCCAAACCTAATCAGATGACATTGGTATAATACTGCAAGGTTGCTTTTTTTTACGCATCTTAAGTTGGAGGTTCTGAAATGCAGAAAAGTCAGGGCTGGCGCACCCATGAGGCAGGGTGAAGCAGCTGCCGCTAGTTGTATTGGTGCCAGTTTCCCTCACCAAAATTTCACCAGAACCTGCTGTTATCACCTTTGCTTTATGCCACTGTACAACCTAGGCAAGGGATGCTTTGGTGGAGGCATTATAGGGGCACTTCCTGTTTTGCCTCAAGCAGCGAAATGGGATGCGCCACTCCAGAGAATAATCATTAGGTGGTCCACTAAGACCCTAAGCAATTTTTAACAGGTCTATGGGATAAAAAGTTTGGGAACCATTGTCTGAAATGAAACTCCCTTCCTTGAAGTCTCCAGAGGCAGTGATTGAATCTGTGAATAAATTTAATTTTGTGAGGTACACTGATCTACACCTGGGGATAGCTTTGTTTCTTTATATGCTCATAACTGCTATGCTTAAAAAAAATGGTTTAAGTTCTATAGGATGAATGAATGAACCTATGAATGAGAAGAAAATTCAGTAAGCAGTCTTGGATCTCATTCTCCCTTGTGCTTGGTAAGCATAGCAAATCTGAAAGAAGGCGATTATGCCTAGGGTCCATAAAAAGTCAGTAAATTGTGAAGTATACTGTGATGGCAGCAATAGCTTAGTGAATCGGAGGATTTGACCTGTGTTCCCATCTCAAGCTGCATTTATAGCAGATATAAACATGACTACATGTTCTTAAAGGTTTCCTGTGTTTTCCATCCAAAAGGGAGCAGTCTGTGTGAAATGTTTTTCCAGCTTGTCTGGAAACTGGAATATAGCTGTGAATCACTTACGGAAAATGCTATGCATTTTTATTTTTTTTATTTTTTTGTTATCTGGAAACATTGTGACTTTCCATAGTTTTATAATGTAGTACATGTGGTTTAATAAGAAAGGACTGCAGGAAGTTACTGGCCAGTTCTTCAAATTAGTTCATAATCTCCCACCCAAGCACTCTTGGTTGCAACTTCCCATGCTTAATTCTTTCCTCAAATGGGAAACTTTAACGTAAAGAAAAACACTTGCAGATTTTTTTTTAGCCTTGGAAAATAACGTGCAAAGTATTTTTAAGAAGGTAAGGGGGAGACTTCTGAAGATGTTGTATAAGCATCTAAAGGTATCTTAATAGTCCATTAACTGCTCTCAAACAAGCTCTTTTTAAAAAATAATAATTAAATATGCAGCTTAAAAAAAAATGCATCTTCACCCTCCCTCCTGCCCCAGACTTGCCACCAAAGCAGAAAAGTACTCACCAAGTTATCACCAGGGAGGGTGTGTGTGTATATGCATATTTTATGGGTTTAGTGTTAGCTTTGGCAAACTTCAATCTGTGTATATGTTTTAAGGACACATTTGAAAAATACATTTTTCGAATACATCGAAAAACACATGGCTTCCCCCAAAGAATCCGGCGAACTGTAGTTAAGGGTGCTAGGAATTATAGTACTTTGAGATGTAAACTGCAGATCTCAGGATTCTTTGGGGTAATCTATGTGCTTTTATGATATTATGCGGGTGACTTAAGATGAAAACTGTAGTACTCCTCCTTGAGTAACCTACAGTTTTAAGTAGGCAAAAGTTAGGTCCAGTCAAAGGCGACTATGGGGTTGCGGCACTCATCTTCCTTTCAGGCCGAGGGAGCCGGCATTTGTCCACAGACAGCTTTCCAGGTCATGTGGCCTGCATGACTGAACTGCTTCTGGTGCAACGGAACACCGTGATGGAAACCAGAACGCACGGAAACACCCTATTTATCTACTTGCACTGGCGTTCTTTTGAACTGCTAGGTCGGCAGGAGCTGGGACAGAGCAACAGGAGCTCACCCCATTGTGGGGATTCGAACCGCCAACTTTCTCATCGGCAAGCCCAAGAGGCTCGGTGGTTTAGACCACAGCGCCACCCATGTCCCTTTAGATTTAAGTACCAATGTTTCATTTGTTCATTGGTTACATTTGAAAAGGCACATCTAAGGGTTATGTAGAACAGGTATCTTCAACCTTTTCAGACCCAGGTTTATTTACCCAAATATGCATATGGAGGACCAATTTCTTAATCTTTTAAGTTTTACCTCATATTTGCATGATATTTGTGCTTCTGTTATGACCCACCTTGGATCAGGCTGCGAGCCACTAGTTGGTTGAAGACCACACGTTGAAGACCAGTGGTGTAGGAGATACTGTATCTCTACGTTCATGGAGCTTTTCCAAAGAAAGCATACTGAGTAAATGTTGTACAAGGCCCCTTGTATCCTGACTCTATTCTGGAAATGAAAGACTTCCTAACTCCTTGTACTGCATTCATATTAAAACCTTCCACTGGTATCTAGTGTCTATTCAACAGTAATTCCATGGATCCTGATGGTCCTGAGCCCCAGTAGAAGAAGAAGAAGAAGAGTTTGGATTTGATATCCTACCTTTCACTCCCTTTAAGGAGTCTCAAAGCGGCTAACATTCTCCTTTCCCTTCCTCCCCCACAACAAACACTCTGTGAGGTGAGTGGGGCTGAGAGACTTCAAAGAAGTGTGACTGGCCCAAGGTCACCCAGCAGCTGCATGTGGAGGAGCGGAGACGCGAACCCGGTTCCCCAGATTACGAGACTACCGCTCTTAACCACTACACCACACTGGCTCTCTCAGTAAAGGAATTTCACCTGGTCTGTTGGTTGTGATAAGATGCACACCACATTGAAGAGGAACAGCTGTTTCCCATACACACACACACACACACACACACACACACAGAGTAGAACCTCTACTTACAACCACCTCCACTTGCAGACGTTCCAAGTTGCGACCACGACAAACCTGGAAATAACCGGCAGGTTTGCTGCCGATCGTGCATGCACAGGAGTGGCAATCACCGTTCACACACAACGGCGCCTCTCCCTGCGACCCATTTCACCATAAGGACTGGCCTCCAGAACGGATTGTGGTCATCCACTGTGTACACACACACACACACTTTCCCATTTTCATACCTCTTCTCCAAGGAATTGATATATAAAAACAAAATGCAGTTTAACTGGGAAGGTGAAGCGGAGCTTGTTTAGTAGATAAAAGTGAGATGTGAAAGCCTGGCTTACAGATGAAAGGAATGGATACAGCTGTGTGTTGAATACTTCTGCTCTGTTAGGTACCGTACTTTAAGAAGATAAGAATAGCCCTGCATGATCAGGTCAAAAGTCAGCCAGATACTTTCATTGTTTTGGAAACATTAAGTTTTGCATTCTTTTTAAAATTGAAAGACTGTAATTACTCATTTATACATGAGTAATATGCTTTGTGGGACACGGGTGGTGATGTGGGTTAAACCACAGAGCCTAGGACTTGCCGATCAGAAGGTTGGCGGTTCGAATCCCCACAATGGGGTGAGCTCCCGTTGCTCGGTCCCAGCTCCTGCCAACCTAGCAGTTCGAAAGCATGTCAAAGTGCAAAGATAAATAGGTACCACTCCCGCGGGAAGCTAAACGGCGTTTCCGTGCGCTGCTCTGGTTCACTAGAAGTGGCTTAGTCATGCTGGCCAATAAAGCGAGATGAGCGCTGCAACCCCAGAGCCGGCCACAACTGGACCTAATGGTCAGGGGTCCCTTTATCCTTTACCTTTAATATGCTCTGTGGTGAAAAGAGAAGATCTGGAAACTTAACGGTAACTTGACTGTCATTACTGTGACTTCATTAGATTAGTATGTACTTAAGATATACTGATAATTGTCTTTCAAAAATCTGCATAAATCTACTGATAAGGTGTGAGACATCCTTTTCTGACAAAGCCATGTATGATAGCAATTGTTAGAAGTCCTAGAACATCTGGCAGGAAAGCGGTCATGTGGGTTTGTTTGCTTTTGTTCAAAAGGACTTACTGTACTTGGTCCTTTCGGCATGACAGTAAAAGGCTGGATGAGAGCTTTTACAATGACTGCTTCAGAACAATAGAGCCCCTCCTATGAGTAGAAATTAGTTGTTTTCATCCAGGGGTAGGCAACCTAAGGTTAAACCCATGGGTTTAACCAGCCCACGAGCCGCCCCCAAACTGAGCTGCCCGCTCGGAGAGTCCCTGCACACTGTGCTAAACTGGCGCAGCGCAGTGCAGGGACTCACTGCCGCGGTGCCGGAAATCACGTCTGTGCATGCTCAGATGCCAAAAATCACATCTGTGCAGATGCAGATGCTGGAAATTGTGTCTGGGGAGATGGAAGATGCTGGAAATTGTGGCCGTGTGCGTGCGATCCGGCCCACGGAGGGATCTCCGCTGGAGTGAACTGGCCCAGGCGAGGTAAACCTTGCCGACCCCTGTTTTAATCTCTCTCTTCCCCCTCCTCCCAATCATTGAGCCAGTATCTTCTATTGCCCATACCTAGTTTGGAGATTAGTTACTGTTTTTAGCCGAGATTTCCAAGGGTTGCCTTGTATTTCAATCACGTTCCCCACAATTTTCCCTAGAATTGATATTTCAACAATACATAGTAAAACATCAGACTGGTTTCCCCCTGGTTGTATGAGTGGAGAGAATACCTCATGCTCCTCTTTTTTAATACACCAATCGATTAATCTAGAAGTTTTATAATATGTCTTTTGAATATCTTGGAGAAAGCTTACTTTTACTTTGTCACTCTTGCAAGCGATTTTCAGTTCAAAATTTTACAGGCCTGTTCTCTGGATGGCTTTTTTAAAAATGTTTTGTTTTGTTGTTAAACTACTGGCTGTGAAAGAGTTAAATGTTTTTCTTTTTAAATGGTATTCAAAGTTCAGCCCTTACATCTGGAGGTCTGCCTAACCTCCATGAGTTCACCAACCTACAGCCTACACAGTTTCATTTTTTGTGTCCAGCCTACTCCACTGATAATACCACCATGGAACTCCTCCTGCTTTCCTTTTTCCCTTTAGCCACCAACAAATGGCCTATGCCTTTCCCCCCTGCAAGCCCTCCTCGTAGGTCCTTTCTTCAGCATTGTGCTAAATGGCGGGTATCCTTGGAGTGCCATTGCCAAAAGAAGAGAGCAAAGGTTATGTAGTACAATGGGATGGTGCAAATTGACCTGTGCATCACCTCCTCTCATTGGGTGTTTATATCCGGGCCATGAAGTGTATCTGGCTGTGCTTCCTGGCAAAGATGAAGAAAGGAGAAGGATAAACAGAAGCTCCTGTTCTCAGTGCACATGCAATGTGTGTGCCCTTACATCTCCTATTCCCTTTATTAGTGTACACAGGGGTGGAGTGATTCAGTTTTAAGAATGCTAGGGTTCATCGTAATTTAATCAGAGAATGTTTCCCAATACAGGACTGTGTTCCAGAATATGTGAACAAAGTGTCACTAAGCATATGCATCATTTTTTCTTTCTGCCACTGAATCCTCCCAACACTCCTGTTCAGAGGATAGAATAATGTAGCCTTCACACAGGGCTGAGCCCAGAACCTTTCCTTTAGAAGTTAAACACACACACACACACACACACACACACATTTTGCTAGCATACCATGCAATCAGAAATGCATTCCTCTTCATATAAATCCTCCCTCTCCCATTTTCAGCAGACATTTACCATAGTGCCTTTCCCCCCATAGGCTCCTGACACTTCTTCTTCCCCAGCAAGTTATCCATTCTCTCCCCTGATCCAGTCAGACCACTTCTTTCCTTTCCAGCTACAGCTGCAGAGTTGTCCACCACCCATTGAGAAGGCAGGAGCTGTTATGTATGCACTTGGATCGCCACCCCTGTTGTGTCTGCCCAGCGACTGAAGGAGGAAGGCTAGCAGTGGTGATTCTTTATCTTTGAGCCAAGGAGGACGATAACTCTGAAGTAGCCTCCTTTTAGAAATGTTGCTGCCACACATCTTACTCTGCCTTGACCCAGTTAACTAGCCAAGAGCATTAATCTCCAAAACACACACAATTTGCATGTTTTGGAGAATGCAAAACCCTGGAGAGGATTTCAGATCTGAAAGAAATGCCTTTGCTTCGCTTAGGAAAATTGCATGCCCTCTAACCACTAGGTTGTAGTACTGACCTCTACTTCCAATGAATATTTACTTAGCATACCTCATAAAATTAATCTTCTTTAAGGGCTGCCACATTACTTCTATATTTTCAAAAAGGAAATGGTCTTGGTGTTTCATTTGTCCCAGTAGCTCTTGATGCAACCTGAAGTCTGTTTTGCACCCAGCGCAATCTAATGTACAGTAATACCTCATGTTGCGTCTGCTTCATGTTGCGTCTTTTCGCGTTATGTCCTGTGGCAACCCGGAAGTACCAGAACGTGTTACTTCCAGGTTTCGCCAGATGCGCAGAAGTGCTAAATTGCGCCGCACGCGTGCGCAGACGTGACACTTCTGGATGCAAACGCTTCAGGTTGCGGATGTGCCTCCGGGACGGATTACGTCCGCAACTCGAGGTTCCATACATGACACATACAGCGCTCCATCTTAAAATTGTTACAAATTTCAGTCTTGAGCTTCTCCATAGCCTCTTGCTTTGTATGCCCCTTCTCCCCTACTCTCGGTTTTTCAGTTTTTAAAAAACCCAGTCTTGAGTTCTGGGGAATTCACAATCTTACTCAATATTTGGATGCTTTAGTTGGGATCTCCGTCCCTAGCTTTAACTGTCTTGTGTCCTCTTCAAGTACTGTTTTTTCTCTCTGCAGTGGAGCAGGAAACTGTAGAAAAGAAGCCATTGAAATAATTCCCCACAAACTGCAATACCAGCTTCTGGTTTCTTAATGTCTTCAGTGACACATTGTTTCACCAAGAAACAAATGTTACTCCTTGCATACTGTTTCATCATTCTTTCATATAAAACTATTTGCTGCTACATATTCTATTGCTACTAAATTAACTTTTCATAGGTATTCTTCCTGAAAAAGCGAAACAAACATGAACAAAGTGTAACATGTTTTTTAAAATATCCTTACCAAATAAACTTAGTAAGTAGCAGGATAATTTTATTAATTAAAATTTGTTGCTTTTCTCTTCCACATAGAAAGCACGTAGCAGTGATGACCTATTAGAAAGAAATTCACAAGGGTATTAAATTATATTATTACTGGAGCCAAATGATGTTCACAATTCAGTGAGTGAGATTTCAAGGTACCCAAAACTTTTGCTCAGGGTGAATATTGAAGGAAACAATAAAAGGAAAGATTTTTTGAGAACATGATGTAGTCTTTAAGTCATGTCCACTGTTTGTTTCAATCTTTAAATGGTAATAGGAAGCCCATACAGACTCTGTACGGTTACCTCTTATTGGTAGCAGTGAGAAATTCCCATTTTAATATGACTTCTTGTTCAGTACACTTGATCAAGTGCATTTTGATTGCGATCATCATTTAATAAAAGTAAAAGCTGAAGCTACTTGAGGAAGAACAGGAATCAAAAATGTTTTGTGAAAAGCATGGATTAGCATGTGATGTGAGTATATAGATGTCAAGTGACATCTTTGAGGCTGAATGACAGAAAGTGAAGGGGGATAAAAGTAAATTATGAAAATCTGATTTTACTACTTTTAGGATAAAGGCTTGATTTCTCCTTCCTGTACCATACTTTCATGTTAGTCCCTTACCATTTTGCAATACTTCAAGCTTGCATAAGTTGGAAAGATTATGATGGGGAGGAGGGTGGGGAAGGAATTTCAAAGGGCACTCTTTTTTTTATCTATTCAGGTTTCTGCTTTGTACTCATGAACTGTGAGGTTTAGGCTTGCCTATCTAAAGTGGATCTATTTGCCTCCAGAGTCAACAAGAAACCTGTTTTTCAATAGGCACGTGTATCTATTGCCATTTGGAGTGGATGTTTTAAGAATTGCCCAGGAGCCTCATGTTTGTCTTCCCACCTCTACTGCTCCTGGGCACACGTGATCAAGATCGGAAAGGTTTGGGTAATCTTAATCCTCCCATAGTGCCCTAGCGGGTTATGGTTTCCCAAGCTGATAGACATGAGAATTGTTTCCCCTTTCAGGCCACAGTTCACTGTAGATACTCTGCAACAAGACCCAGCTCATATATTTGACTTAGTGTAAGAATATTGGGTACAGTGGTTAACTTGGTAGTCGAACAAATTGGCTCCCAAATGTCGCAAACCCGGAAGTGAGTGTTCCGGTTTGCGAAAGTTTTCTGGAAGCCGAATGTCCGACGCGGCTTCTGTGGCTTCCGATTGAGTGCAGGAAGCTCCTGCAGCCAATCAGAAGCCATGCCTTCATTTTCGAACCATTCCGGGAGTCGAATGGCCTCCTGGAATGGATTAAATTCGAGAACCAAGGTACCATGGTACCACTGTACTTGGCTCAGAGGCAGTTTTAGGGTAGTGTGACCAGTTCAGTCACACTGGGCACTGGGTTGTAAGACGCGTCAAAACAATGCTGTAGAATGGAGTGCAAGAAGTTGTTGGGGGGCGGGGGTAGCATTGCACAGGATGCCACTGAAGTTGTTAGTGGCCCAGTATCCTATTTTCAATTCAGAGTAGGATACAGATAACTCACATTTTACACACAGTGATCTTGTGCACATTCAGCTTTACAGAAAGAAAGAAAGAAAGAAAGAAAGAAAGAAAGAAAGAAAGAAAGAGGGAACATCCACACTGGCAATCCCACCCACCACTGACCCCAATATGTTTTTGACTGTACATAAATTTGGGCTTTATGTGCTATTCCTGGAACATAACCCCTGTGTAAGCTGAGAGTCACCTGCATATGAAAAATAAATTAGTAAACAGTGCTTAAAAAATCACACTTTTCCTTTGAGGGTTGTTTTTGGAAAGGAGAAGTGGAAGAACGTAACAGACTTCAAAGGGAAATGGATTCTTCCAGCGTTTGAAACATTTTGTGTGACACAGGAACACTTCAAAAGAGGCTTTCTTCAGCCTTCATTAAAGAATTCAGTTAACTCTGGAAAGTACAAGCCTGAAGTCCTACACACACTTGGGAGTAAGTCCCATTTAGTCCAGAGGGACCTGGTTCTGGGTAAACATCGGGAGGATTGAGTTTCACCGTGACTAAGATTTAGTATGCTTTCCAAAACTTTGCAATGTTTTCTGCCAGCTAATTGCTGTTTATTGCACTAAACCTTGGTCCTCAAACAGTAACTTTTTCCATCTTAAAGTGGGTTGTCCCATTCAAGTGAAGAGCATGTTGTCTGAGTGCTAAATGGAATTACTACCAATGGAAACTATGCTGCAAGAGGAGTTGATAAAGCAGCTGCCTATGCAAACCTCAGCTGTTTTTTCCATTCTCCAGAGCAAAGTTAATTAGCATAGGGAAACTGACTAATGTGCTTACGTCACCTCTTTCCAGTTGAAGCTTATATTTTGTCCCTGACTGCCTGAAAGCATGCTGCAGGACTTTGTTCAGGAATTTGCTGTCGCATACAGGATGCTCTGAAACCTTTTTTTCCCCCTTCTTTTTTTTCTTTTTTTGGTTGAGGGGCTGGACTTGGTCCTTTTTATAAACTCTCACTCTACAGTACAAAACTGCTTCTTCAAAAAAGGACTTTTTGGTGATCTTGTACTGAGCTCTTAGCATTCTTTAAGAGAGCAGAAGATGCATTTTAGGAACTTTGATTACATTTTTGGCTCCTTAATTGCTTGTGTTCCTGACAACAAGGTTTTCAATCAACCAGAAATTAGGGTAAGGCTTTGTAGATTTTTGTTTCTGGTGAGGAATATAGTTAATGAAAAAATGTAGGTGTGTTCAAATGACTGACTAGGTTAGGTCTTGATATGGCAATGTCAAAATAATCCCAAACTGCAGAAGCTGGTGTCCATTTGTGTTTCTGTATGCTTTATAAATTCTTACAATAATGCCTTAAGATTATGCTAGGGTTGTAGCTCAGTGGCAGAGTACATGCTTGGCATTCAAAAGCTCCCAGGCTCAATCACCAGCATCTCAAGGTAAAGACAGGAGAGACCTCTTTCTGAACCAGTGGAGAGCTGTTGCTAGTCAGTGTTGAAAATACTGGGCTAGATGGACTAATGAACTGATTTAGGCAGCTTCCTATTTCCTGTGGGGTAATTTGTATGATCCTTTAAGTACTTTTGTGTTAACTGTCTACAAATTCTCAATACTTCTAACTGCAAGTGTGGACTTTTAAATATTCTTTTAGTTTAAATAGTTTAGCTTTACTGTTTACAATTTCATCCAGCTTTTCATTTGTGAAAGTAAGGTGGAGGGGAAGTAGCAGGGGGTGGAAACTGGGTTTGAAACTTTGAACAGGGCTCACTGTAACTTGTTCAAAAGTGCAGTGCCTGGCCTTTAAAAAAAAAAAAAAAAAGACTATACCAAAACTTCAAAACGCTAATAACAAAAGCCTAGTTGTTAGTAGAATGAAAACACATTCTCTGTACTCTTTAAGAGAAGTAGCTCAGTTTTGGGCTGACAACTTTCTGTACAAAGTTGTATAGTATTCCCATGTGTTACATACTTGTTTGAAAGTTTAAAGAAATAATGTTTTGTTATTTCCTTCATGAAAAACCTGTTATAGACTTGTGACTTAACTGAACCCAGCAAGTTCAGTATTCTGTGATTCCATACAAGTTAGTCAATAATTATAATAGGCAAAAGAAACTGTAGTCAGTTCCTGTTAATGGCTTGTGAAACAGGAAATTATAACATACATAAATGCTCAGCTAATGTGATTAAGAACCATTGTCTCCTCCTCAAACTCCACTCCTAGTTTCCTTATTCTCAATATTAAATGGCAGACACCTCTGTGAATGATGCATAAATATATTTGAGTTGGTTAGTTGCCTGAAAGTTTCAGTAACACATGTGCTAAGCATGCATCACTACGGTATGGAGCTGTCAGCTAGTGGCGGATTTGCCACACCTGAAGTTCCACAGATTATTTGTTATTTGGGGTCAGAAGCAATTGTCTTTTTTCAGACTTTCTGGGGTTTTTTGCTGTTTTTTAAAATGAAAACTAGATAACCACCACAGCTGTATCTTCACTATTTCTTCATCCAGCCACAGCCTTCCCCCCGCCACACTGGTTCTGTATGTTTCTTAAGTTCTGAAGCACTCTGGATTGGAAACTTGTGCTCTATAGCATCTATGCGTTCACGCTTGCTACATAGGGTCACACATTGTTTTTTAGCAGCTGCATGGTAGTTTCAGCTAGTGTAGATTTTCCTGGCATCATGAAAAAGAAGGCTGACACATTCACTTCATGTAATTGTTAAAGATACAGAACCAATCAGGAAAAAAGACTATATTCAAAGGCATGTTTCCTATTAATACATATTAATTGATACTGATTCTCATCAATCTAGCAAAGGGTTTGTGTTTTCTTGGGTTTATTGCATGGTACAGTGATGACTTGTTGCTTAAAGCCATTAGGGCTTACCTCTTGAATTCTACCTTTCGGTTATCAGGCTGATTGCACATATCCTTGAGTGAAATAGCTGGAATGGAAACATTTTAACCCACATAACTGAATTGCGGTTTGAGTATCAAGTTCCCTGCAAATAGAGGTGTGGCACTGGCAGAAGAGAAAAAGCTATATAATACACTATCCCCCAGAGCCCAAAAGTTGCAAAAAAACCCCAAAAGTTCCCTTGTGTATTTGTTTAGGTCCAGGGACACACATTCCCCACAGGGAGGGGAGGGATAATATTTACAAGTACTTGGTTGTAGCTTTGCAAACAAGTCTGTAGGCCACTGAAATAATTTTTAATCGTTTATGCAATACAATATAGCTTTTTAACAAAATATTCCGTTTGTCTTTCAGGCAAGATTTGAAGCACTCTTTAGAACATATGACAAAGATGTCACATTTCAGTATTTTAAAAGTTTTAAAAGAGTACGGATAAACTTCAGCGACCCTTTGTCAGCAGCTGACGTTAAAATACAGTTACACAAGAAAGAATTTCTTGGAAAGGAATTGAAATTGTATTTTGCTCAGGTAAGACAGAGAAACCTACTTGGTAAACATTTAATTGCATTGTTGCCAGTTTCATTTCACATCCTTCCTCCAGTGAACTCTTGAGTAAAGCATTCTCGCCCCACAACAACCCGGTGCAGTAGGGTGGGTTGAATGAAAGTGATCCACCTATTGAGCTTCAGAGCTAAGCAGGGCTGTTATGCAAACTCAAAAATTACAATATGTTACAGAATCTTTTCATAAACCACCTGTCTTTCATAGAACTACTTTGCAGTGATCTGAGCAGTTGAATTGTGACGCCTGCTATTTTTGATGTGTTCTTAAAGTACCGCTTCCAAGAAAGGATGACATCACACATTCCAGTACCATTTTCATTTTCACTAAGGCTCTAATGATACGGATTTGCTTAGGCAGTTTTCTGGTCACCACTTTACAGCTAAGCTGTTAGGAGATCTGGCATTTGCTCTACTTCTTTAATGGTATTGAAGTATTCTGTTATAAGACACAGTCCTTAAGGATTGCTTCTTTTGATCATGTCACTGACAGACACTGTGGAACCTCAGGAGAGGAGATATGAGGAATAACTATATTTTATGTATGATTTCCCAAATCATTTGTATTGAAAGAGGACAAGCTTTTATTTTCTATCTTGTGTTATTTGAAAGTGCAACCAGATAAGCTTTCTCAGAGATTTCTAAAGAAAATCATGGAAGCTGAAGTGGGATTAATCTGAATGTCCATTTCAGACACATTTTATTTTTATGTATATTAAAAAAAACCTGAACAAAAAAGAGTGAGATCATTGAGCAGATTAGTTAGTTATGGAATCTGGGCGGCATACAACAAATTTGTAACTACAATTTCTATACAATTTCTATACAAAATAATATATAAAAACATTAGAAAGTGCATGAATACAATAAGATATCAGTAAGAGAAAAGTTGTGAATTGTGAAGGTCACATACAATCTAGAAATTGTGACTTTTTCTTTTTAAAATACATGTAAGCTGTAACTAGAAGAGGATTCCCAGGTATTTGCAAGTATCTAGAAGGAAGAGACTTAGAAAGAAGGGAATCTGATCTATACATGTGTATACTCACAATTAAGTTCAAAATGCTTCATTAGAAGCAGCCTTTATTCTGCTCTTGAATTCTTCTTCTAGTTAGGACAGCCTTGTAAATGAACTCACAAAAGTTTCTGGCCTCCCATTTGTTTTACTAGCCTACATCCCCACGCTGGCTACAAGGGAAGATTTTTTTAAAGTTCCCTGCAGCCAGTATGGAAATGCAGCAGGCTGAGGGACAGAGTGATCCATCCTCCCAGGAATCATAAGATTATATCTTAAAGACCAAACTTCAGTATCATTTTATTTTTTATCTTTTGGGTTGTTGTTTAAAATGTTCTATCATTATCTCTATATACCAGGTGGGTGCAGAAAGTTCCAGGTTTCATTAACCTAATATTGTCAGCCCAATGGATTGGATCCACACTTAATCATGCTTAGAACAGACCATTGAAATCAGAGGGACAGATTATTCTAAGCATAACTGACTCTGGATCCAGTCCACTGGATCCAATCCACTGGATCCAATACCATTACATACCTCTGCCATAAGCACGACATATTTGTATTCCATGCATGTGCTTTTTAAAAAATCAAAGTAAAAAATAAAAATCTGTTTCATCTCTCCAGACTTTGCATATTGGAAGTTCACGCTTAGCACCACCAGATCCAGAAAAACAATTTCTGATTTCACCTCCATCTTCTCCCCCTGTTGGTTGGACTCAGTCTGATGATGCTACACCTGCCATTAACTACGATCTTTTATATGCGATCTCCAAACTAGGACCAGGTAAGAGGCATATATGCCTAAAGTGTAATGGCTCAAGTTAATTTTCCTTTTATTGTTGATTTACTGTAATGGGTGTGGCTGCATAAGAATTGAACTTATTCACAATAACACCTGTGATCTGAATTGAGAGTTGTTAGGAGACCTCTATTGTCTTCACCGAATTAGTTTTCAGAAACATTTCACAATTCCTCTTCACAGAGAGCTCTGGGAATTGTAGCTCTGTGAGGCGAAAAGCTGTATTCTGACAACTCTCAGCACCCTTAACAAACTACAGCTCTCAAGATCCTTTGGCAGAAGGCATGACTTCTGTATGGTATGAATGTGGCCTTCACTCCTTCAGCAGCCCGCTTAGTTTCTGCAGTAGGTACAAACATAACATATGGAATGAATGCTTCATCCCTCTTCCACCAGCCCCCACACTCACTTGCCTAGAATTCCTTCTTGCCTGTGGTTACCGGGCAAGTGTTTTAATGCAAGGCTGATCTTGCAGAGAGGCTTAGTAAGAACGATTGCACTAGTATGGTCACATGAAGGTACAATTAATGGACAAGTGTGGCCTGCAACAAAATGTTGCAGTGCAGATTGCCCCCTTGCAGAGTTCCAGCCAGCCATTCCCTTTCCCCACATTTTCCATTTCCCTTAACCATGAAACATGCAGTATTTTATTACTATTCTGCGTGTCTCAGTCCTTGTTGGATTATGTGGTGTTTTTTGAACCTTCAGGATTTTTCTCTCTCTCTAAAGATCTTTGTAATTCTGCAAATGTCAGGGTTCCCCTGAGTCAGGCCACACACTTTCTGTGTGAGTGCTGCCATTTTGGCCACATAGAGATTGTCACTCATCTCTGAACATTGCAGATAGAGGGGATAATACTGGGGGAATCTAAACCAGCTGAAGTTTATAAATTTGCTGATAGTATATATGTTGATTCTGCGTTACATTTGCTTGTTAATCATAACTTTCACTTGCTGAAGAAGCAAAATTTGAAAAGGAGAATAAAACACCCCATAGCTCCCCAGGATGTGAGAAACTATTGCTGATTTGTAAGTTCATAACTGGGAGTTGAGAGGTAGCAATCAGGATTAAAAAGGGGTAATCCATGATCATGTTATCCCACTGTTTAAAAATAAACAATGAGCTGCTCCATGCAACTGCTCTGAAGATCTGGGAAGAGGAGCAGGGAAAGAAGCTCTAATGCCTCCCTTTCCTCACCACAACACAGAGCTATTAGTTCTACTGGGGGAAATGTACAAGTATTTTATATCTACAGTTGTCTTACCACTGTTGCTATTTTTAAAAACATTTTAGGGGACCAGTATGAACTTCATGCTGCAACAGAAACTACTCCCAGTGTTGTTGTCCACGTGTGTGACACGAATGAAGAACGTGAGGCAGAAGCGGAGAAAAAAGACGCCAAGAAAGCAAAACCCAAACCAAAAATTATTCAAACCAGAAGGCCAGACTATACTCCTTCTTACCAAAGTTGAACTACGTAGAGCTTTGAAATGTTCCAAACTTGCATGCTCAAGGGAGACATTGAGGAAATGATGTCATAAATCTGATGACATTAGAGGTGGAAGCAGCAATTCTAACATACAGATGTTTTAAGAAAGGGAATGTCTTCATTTGTTTGTTTTAATGCTGCACGTTGGCTGACAAGACCAATCCCAAAATGAACTTCTGAATGGTTGTCCTGGAGAATGATTAAATAGTGGCATTGAGGCAAAAAGCATGTACTGTTGTGCTTTAGGGCTATTTTCAGATACTCCAGACTTCTGTTACAAAGCAGCTGAGGATGCCTTCCCTATTTATGTATGTCCCTGATAAAGTCCTCCAATTCATAAGTTAGCATGGTTGCCATTCTAAAATACACTCACTGATAAATACACTCCATTGGAATCAGTAGGGCATACAAGTAAGTATGTTAGAGATTGCAGCTTGTATATGACTTATGATGGTAAAGAGATGGTTTTAATGCAATAGGGTGATGTCCAACATTAGTCATAACCCAAGTTGACCCATTGAAATCAGTGGATGTGTCTACTCTGAGTATGACTAACATTGAATATTAACCACAGTAAGATATATTTAATCATTTTTCCTATTAGATTTGTGCATGCCTGTAAAACTTGAGAAGTTTAACTTCCTCTGCATTTTCCAGTTTTACATTATCCCAAATACTGATTTCTCAGTTTTCCTTCTGAATTATGTTTGTATTGGCATTCATTTTTCAGTTGGGACATATTTTTAGTGAAGTTATGTGCAATATCCCCTTTTAATGTTAACTGCCAATGCATGGTTTATCTAGAAAACCTATAAAACACTTGTGCACATTTTAAGTGGGTTGACAATTTTAAATTATTCTAAATGACATTATTTAATATTGATTTAAAATACCTTGACTTCTTTACCGATCAGAAGTACAAGAAACCCGCAGATAAAGCTGATACTGTGTTGTTACAGTTCACAACTGAGAGAGAATATAAGCTTGCCCTAGCCACAAACTTGTAAATTATTGTTGGTGTTTAAATGTTGTTAATGGTGCTTGAGCACATCTAGTGTGAAAACAAATGTGAAATGTGGCATTTGCGAAGGTTGGAGTGCCTTTTTCTCATGAATTCCTGGGAGGATTGTTGCACTAGCTGTAAGATTATTTAATTTTTTAATTGGCAGTAGATAGTTATATCAAATATTTTCTGCTAAAGCATCATCAAGTAAGATGTGTTCTATTTCCCCTTGTTTGATGCAGGGCCACAATGCTTTTTCTTCTCCTTTTAGTGCTTTGTGTCTGAGCAGCAATTTATTAGCTACAGCTAAAAGTCTAGCGGTAAATGGTGTTCAAGCTTTTTTTGTACCATATTTACAAGCAAAATTTACTGCACAGTGACATCCCACTTCAAGTATTTCTAGGAGTTTTCTTTTAGAATGGATTATTGAAATGAATTTTAAAAGGCTTTTAAAAATAAACATTTCACAGTTTGTGATGTCTAAGCAAAGGTGTTTTCTCTGTTTGTTTTTTTCCTACTATGAGGGATTTCATGCTGCTTGTACATTTCTAGAAACTATAAGAAGCTGGATATTTCCATACAGATGTCAGTGGGAGCTCTGTTTTAAGAGAACCTGTTCTGTCAGAGAAATTTTAATGAGAGGTTTTTCACTATGAGGTGTACCATCCTTCTCGGAACAGATGTAGCCAGGATAGTATAAATAGCTTGATTAAGTCAGCAGTACAGAGTGTACTGTATTTGTAATATTCCAGCTTTGCCCAAGATGTGTGTTTTTAAAAACTATGAAGTCCATTCAATACAAGTACAAATGAAACAACAATATGTATTTGTTTTCTTTCAAAGGACAACAAAAAAGCTCCAGGATGTCATGCTGCAGATCTTGATTGTACTACCGCCTTTTTCTTATACTGTATAAACTGCTTCTATATTTGTAAATGTTTTAAATACCCACTCTACAGACCAGTTAAGCTGGATGACTATTTAAGATTATTTAAACTTACAAGTAAATGCTGTTGAGGTCATTAGGGCTTAATTTTCTTTAAGTTGCAATCCTGCAAATAGGGCTCCTTCAGTGCCATTGATATCAACGATTTAAGCTGTCTAACTATATAGGGAGAGCTGCAGTCCTTAGTCCCACTGAACCCAAATGTTCAGGTATGTCAGCTGGACTGCTTTCTGGAGTTTACCTACACCAGGCATGGCCAAACTTGGCCCTCCAGCTGTTTTGTCACTACAATTCCCATCATCCCTGACCACTGGTCCTGTTAGCTAGGGATGATGGGAGTTGTAGTCCCAAAACAGCTGGAGGGCCAAGTTTGGCTATGCCTGATCCTACACTGATGAACGACTACCTAATTGTCATGTATTAAATACAGAATGTAAACAAGACAAACACAATATGCTATTTGCTTATAAAACCAGTCCACCTTATGACATGCAGCCCTTGGAAAATACTTCACTGTGGCAAGATATTGTACATTGCAGCAAGAGAAGAATGGCAGGAGGAGAGAATGCTCTTGTGCTCAAGTCCTGCTTCTGGGTATCCCACAGGCATCTGGTTGGCCACTGTGGAAACAGGATGCTAGACTAGAGAGGCCACTTGCCTGATCCAACAGGCTCATCTTATGTGTTAGCCAATGCCTCATGCATCCTGTCTCACGTCAGTTCATTCAGCTGGTGTACAGGGCTTGCTATTGAAAGAGGGCAAGGCTATGTGGTTTACTGTAGCCTTACTCACTTTAGATAGCCCAGGATGGACCAGAGCAACAGCTGAGCTACTGTAGTGCATTCTTTATCTAAATATCTGTGGCCCTCCAGCTGTTGTTGGATGATAGCTCCCATCATTCTTCACCATTGGCCAAGCTGGCTGATGGGAAGATCACCTCTTCCCCATCCCTGGCCTGTTACCACCATGCCTGCACATAGCAACACTTTCTGATGATCCTTCCTCTTGTCGCTGTACATGGATACAGCTTTTGATTGGAATTTTGTAATCGGCTAATACTTCTGAACCCAGCAGTGCTCCTTTGCATCCCACCTAATTTTCTTTAATGATAATGAGAAAACACATAAAGGTGTGGTTTCTAGTGTTACGTCTAAGATGTCGCATGAAGCAAATGGACATTCGGAGGCTTGGTGAACTTAAGTAGGCTGAAATATTACACAAGTTTAGTTGGTGTGTAAATGAGCAGTATTGAACAGAAGTACTCCTAGGTCATGGAGAGTGGGGACTAGGGAGTTCCAGGAATTGCCCATGCTTGCATCTTAATTTAATTACTACTTACTTATTGCTACGAACACACCTTTTTAGCACAAGTTTATTATTTGCAGTACTTTTTTATGATAGCTTTTTTTAAAAAATGTGCACAATTTTGTCCATATTTAAATAGACATATTTTTATATCAAATGTAATAAATTCAAAAGGAATGATGGTATGAATTGGTTGCAGCTCATAGAAATAGGGCACATGTTCAGAGTCATGTAAAATTTAAAATATCTGCACCCCAATTTTCTAGTTTACAAGTAAAATATTTGAAATGTTAGCAGCAAAGTCCTTGCATTTGAGTGGAACATTCCAGGCCTTGACTTTTCATTTCAGATCCTTTCCTTGCTTGATTCATTTGCATTGATAAAGAGGTTATGAAGGGAGTTCATGATTCTTACAAAATAAATGGTCAGAGTATATATTATCTTTCCAGATTTTTTGGTTTGTTTGTGTTTAAACAGTAGAGCAGGAAACTCAGCAGTCACAGAAATAACCATATAAAATGCCACGTATGCATAGAAATCCAGCGTAGCCTATTTATTTTTATTGCTCCTGTGGGTGAAATGGGGTCTGTTTGAGATAGCCAATGTTATATGTTTTGTTCAATTGTTATGGGCAAATGTGCATAGAGACTTTCATACTTTATAATATAAATTCTACAAAAAGTCATGTGTTTGTGTTGTGTTTATTATTAAATCTCATGAATCAGAAACCGGAAAGAAAAAAACTAGATGCTTAACTTTGATTCTTCTATTCAAAATGAAGAGTCTGAAAACTTGTTAGTAGAGATACTTCCATTGTCCTGCAGGTGGAGCTAAATATCCAGGAATATAACACTGATTTGATTTGATTTTTTTGAGGATGGTGATGATAAGCTAGAGGCTCTGTCCCACCAAGAATATGTAATAAGAACCTGATCAAGAGCAACTTGTTTTATCAATACCCTTTAAAAACGTTACCTCTATAGCAACAAAAAAAGCTGAAAAACACTGCAAATATTCAAGTTGTCCCAGCATATTGCATATGTTCTTCAGAAAGCAGGGGTGTAACGTGGGTTGTTGGCACTCGGGGTGGGGCCAGTGTTGAACTGGACAGTGGTCAGTCCCTTCACTGGCCAGCGTCTAATCAAGGGAGTCTCTTCTTGCAAACTAGCCCAAACCTGGGAGCAGAGATAAGGCAGAGAAATGTGAAGCCAGGAGCGCCACTGTGTCACCTCACTCTCCTGTCCTTGCGGCAAGGCATTCTGGGCAATGCATATGGCTCTGGCAGTGCTTTCCCACCATCCCCTCTCTCCTTTCCTCCTCAGTGAGCAGCACAGCTGCTGCTAGACTCATAATCTGGTGAACCGGGTTCGTTTCCCTGCTCCTCCGCATGCAGCTGCTGGGTGACCTTGGGCCAGTCACACTTCTTTGAAGTCTCTCAGCCCCACTCACCTCACAGAGTGTTTGGTGTGGGGGAGGAAGGGAAAAGGAGATTGTTAGCTGCTTTGAGACTCCTTAGGGTGGTGATAAAGTGGGATATCAAATCCAAACTCCTCCTCCTCCTCCTCTTCTTCTTCTTCTTCTTCTTCTTCTTCTTCTTCTTCTTCTTCTTCTCCCTCCCTCTTGGGTAACCCAGAGGCAGGCTCGGCCTGCCTCCCTGCAGCTCTAGCCTTGATGAGGGAGCCTGTCATGCGGGAGCCTGGTCACACCCCCTCAGAAATTTGCACCCAGGGCCACAGCGCCCCTAGCCCTCCTTTGCTATGCCACTGCTATTGACACATCTAGCCCAGTCTTATTTTTACACTGACTGGCACTAGCTCTCCAGGGTTTCAGACATTCCCAGACCTACAAGGAAATGCCAGGAAATCTGGAACTTTCTGCATGCAAAGCAGATGCTCTGTCACTGAGCTATGTAGGGCCCTTCCCCTGGTTGAAATATCACCTCAGCTATGAACTTTACCAGGTTACCAAGTACCAAGTTACCAAGGGGCAAGTACCTTTCACTCAGATTCAGCCTGCCCTTTGTCATTCCATCTTCAATATAGAGCTAATAAAGAACAATAATTACTGAGAATGTATATTGAGGGTTGCCAATGTGGTGCCCCTGGGAACATGGTTGGCACAGCAGCTTTTTGTTTCCCAGCTGAAATTAGGCTTAGAAAAGCATTCTGTTATATCCAGTAGATCAGGTTGCACTGCATGCCTGGCTAGTCTGGTGTCCATAACAGGTTTTCTGGTTTGCAAATGTGCCAACAGGACCCAAAAAGGTTGTTGACGACGTCTACGAAGCAAGAAGCAGTTATCTGGGAATCAGGGGTGCCAACCTGAATAAAATATGGGGGGGGGTAAGATCACCCTGCATAATTGATGACATTATATGGTGCATTCACGCCATTTGAATGGCAATGCCCATCAAATGGGGGGACTCTGCCCCCTCAAATATTTTATGGGGGGTGGGCTGAAGCCCCCTTGGCTCCTAGGAGTTGGTTCCTATGCTGGGAATAGGAGGGAAACTGGCTGAGATCACCAAGTTTTCATGGCCCTACTCCAACAAAACTTCAGCCCACAAGAAATTTACCCAGTGAAGCTTGTTCTGCCACTTCTTGCCAGAGTTTACCTGCTTACTTTCTGTGCATGTCACATAGCTGTTAAAAGCACAGAAACAGCACCAGTTGGGGGGGGGGGAATGTTAGTAACCCCATGGGGGGAGAAGTCAGTCAGTAGGTCAATTCATGAGGTTTTTGGGAGAAGAATGAGAGGCAATGCACCTTTCTATGTTGAGTCATAGAGCTCTCTCACCCAGCGGTGTAGCGTGGGTTGTCAGCACCCGGGGCAAGGCAAGTAATTTGCGCCCCCTAACCCCTAACCTGCCGCCGCTGCCAGCTTCTTCTTGCTGCTGCCTGGTCTGGTCTGGTGTGGTTCTCTCCCGCACTCAGCGCTGCGCTGGGCAGCCGCTGCACTGTCCCTCCCCCAGATAGTCCCTCGCTCTCTCTCCGCACCGCACGCCTGGCAACCACCCCCTCCACAGTGGGCGGCGACCCAGCGGCTCGGATCGGATTCGCACAGCCAGCACTGCAGTGAGAGAGAGTGAGTGAGCCAGGTAGGGGCAGAGAGCTGCGAGTGCGAGCGCCCCCCCCAGATGTTGCGCCCAGTGCGGCCGGCCCCCCCTGCACCCCCCACGCTACGCCACTGCTCTCACCTACTAGTCAGGGCCTTGCTAAACTTTCGCAATACATGACCTGGGCAAATCAGTTGGTAAACTCCATGACTCTGAAGTGGCACAATTAGGCCATTTTAGACTCTGGGCTTAAAGGACATATGGAAGCTCTCCTCTTTTGTTGATCCTGCCACCAAGGCTTTTTTTTAAGCAGGAACTCGCCAGAACTCAGTTCCAGCACCATTGCCATTATAAGAGAAAAAGGGAGGTGTTCATGGTGAGTTCCAGCACCTCTTTTTCTAGAAAAATAGCACTGCAGGCAACTACAGTTGCTTCAAAATGTGCTAAGCCTGCTTTTCTACATTTGGAGTCCCTCCTGCACATTCTGCTGAGCAAAGCCCTGGATTTCTCCTCCAGTGTCCTGTTGTGATAACACCATGGGTGAATTTACTATATTACACCCTGTGAAGATTCTTGAGAGGCATCATGAAAGGAGAGAGGGGATTCAAGCCATCGGGTCAGGATAAATAAAGCTGCAAGCTAAGCAAATTCCCCAAACATAAAATGTTAGTCAAAACTGACGAAAATCAAACCGCATAAGTACAAAGTGGGAAACATATTGGTTAAAAGGATTGTCAAGGCCCATGAACTGCCTATACTCTAGCAAAATAAATTATTGTGGATTATGCTTTTCCAGAGCCCCCCAATATTTTGTTCAAGTTGGTGCTTATGTCTTAATGGTCTGTTGTCTCTAGGTCTGTTTGTTGTCTTCAGTGTCACAAAAGTCTGTGATCTGTGAGGTGTGGCTGGAAACAGGCTGTACGTGTACACGAAACACGAGGATAAAAAGTTCCAAAACAAGAATTCACTAGTATGGTGCTAGATAAGACTAACATATTTTATTCAGAGGCAGAAGTTGCTCACATTTACTTCCATTTGTCCTATTTTCCTTTAATAGTTTTTATGATGATCATTTCTTTCAAATTAAACAAGGTATTTTACAGCCTAACACAATGCCAGCCTAGAGTTAAACAAACCCAGTCAGAAAATCAGATAAAAACACTCTTGCCAACAGATCTTCAGATCTCAGCCACAATTAGCTGAGACCTCATTACTCTTCAAAGCCCATCCAAACAAACATATTTTTGCCTGCCTCCACAATCATGCCAAAGGAGCAATGCACCCATGCTTGTTTGTCTAGACATGCAATTATCATAACAGCCAAATTCACCACCAATTTACTGAAATGCTGATGTGGTTACTTTGCAGCATTGCACCTCTATGCAATAATGACTTTATCTTGTTCTAATCACATCTGTTTGAATAAGAAAAGAAAGGTATAAACAACTTGTTCCATTTCATATGTGGAAACATCCATACAAACTCTTTTCTTTTCCCTTCCAAGGCTGAAGGAGAGTGGTGACTGGGCTCCCATGTCACTTGAGGCAAGGCAGGATGGGAACTAAAGGTGCTTCCAGATGACATGTTTATGGAGCTTTCATCCCGATTGATTTCTTTGCAGGGAAATTAGATGATGTTGACCATTGATTGAGCATTCATTCAGATTTGTTCGTGGGGAGATTAGATGACATTACATCAAAGCGTCAGCCCATGCTTTCCAGCACATTTTCTCATCACTTTCTTCATTGCAAAAAAAGTCTGATCGTTGGAGGGAGCTGGCTGCTTGTGCAAGACCTCACAATCAACAATAAATGCACAACCTGAATTCCCTGGTATGTGATTGAATCCCACCCTAAAATAGGAACAGTCTGAAAGCACCCGAAGTCCCTTCTCCTCTGCCTCTTACTCCTAGAGAGTTCTTAGCTCAAATGCTTCTGTATTCAAATACAGTTGAGCCCCAAATTCTCCACCACCCCCCGCCTGCCTTGCAATTTTATACAAAGTTTTATACACTGGTATAACTGAGCCCTCAAACCCAGCCCTTCAGAGGTTCATCAACCACCATCAGCACCTTCTGTTATTAACTGGTACATAACAATCCTGCATTTCTCTAACAATGTGTTGCATATGGAAACATTGATGCAACTTTTAATTATAGCCTGCCACTACTAATACAGTTGCAGTATGTAGGTCAGTAAATCTCCCCTCATAATTCTTTGGTCTCGTGTTGCTGTGTACAGTAATCTGTGCAGAATGGCTGCTGTGTCTGCTTACTTTAACGAAGCACATATTATTTTACAAGCGAGCCTTTGTAGTTGGTGTAATGCATCTCTTACCCACGTTGCATTACAACTTCATTCATCAGTATGCAGACAAAAAGTTCAAAAGCAAGGAGTGTGGTGCAAGACAGCACAAACAGCTTATTATTATTATTCGGAGGAAGAAGTTATTCAACAAGGCACAAATAATAGTAGATTTGTTTTGAAGGGAAGTTCATTTTGAAGTGTTTGTGTTATCGTGTCCTCGACTCCCTCCAACTTGTCTCAATCCAGCACAACTTAATTTGCCTATCTATGGCCTCAGGTTGCTCCTCTGAGAATGCTAACTATGCTAATGAGGAAAAACAGATG